ACTCCTAATCCTTTAGGAAAAAAAAAACACCCCAGGGGGGTTCAAACTTGACAGCTTTAAGACTTGTGGACTTCAACTCCCAGAATTCCACTTCTCGCTCTTCATCTTGATGATGTGCGGACAGGCGGAAGGAGGGAGCTGGAACCGGTTCTAAATGGCACTGTAGATTTGTGGAACCTCTTCTATAGAAGAGGTTAGAATTGGCAGGAACCTACCCCTGTTTATGACTGTTTTTCACACAACCATTGCAACATCCTCATGGTTAGGTAATCAAAATTCAGACACTTGGCAACTGGCATATGTTTATGACAATTGCAATGTCCCAGGGTCTTGTGATCACCTTTTGCGACCTTCTGACAAATAAAATCAATGGGGAAGCCAGATTCACTTAGCAACCGCATACTACCTTAACAACTGCAACAATTCACTTTACTCTGGCAAGAAATGTTGTAAAATGGAGCAAAGTTCATTCAACAGTTTATCAGTTGAAAATTTGGGCTCAATTGTGGTCATAAATCGAGGACTACCTGTATCATACAGCATCATTGTGCTTGCTGCAGCCATACAGCTAGGTTTCCCATTAAATGTAGTACTATGATGTTCTGAAAGAACCAAACAACCAACCAACAGATTCAGCCAATGTTTGAAAGACTTCAATTATTTGGCAGCTAATAATAATTACTCTGTCCCATTGATTTTCATCAGAAAGCAAAACTTGGGTACACTTTTTAAAAAAAGGTGAATGACAGCCAAAACTACTTGTTCAATGATGTTGGGCTGGAGACTACCAAATATATGTCCATCTTAGCCTTTACTGCCCTTGTGCCCTCCACATTTTGGGGGATACAATTAATTGCCTGAATTCTCAGTTACACCATGGGATTCTTTTATGGGCAAAAAAGGAATCGATTTTACATTTTATAGCTATTCCCAGCTAATTATAGTAAAACATGTGGCTTATGGCTCTTGCAATTTTCACCAGTTTCTGATATAAAAGATGTAAATGAGCAATATTGGTGATTAGGGAAAGTTGTAGATAATGTGGCACCAGATGATCACAACTTTTAGAATGGTCACCTGTGCAATGCTGGGCATTATTATTTTTGGGGGGGTATCATAAGCTATCAGTTGCCTTGATATATCTAGAAGGCATTTATTATGCAATTTCTGTTCAAGATAAACTAGGATCAATGTCATATGTATATATATATTACCTGCCCATGTCGAACGTAACCCTAATTCAGGGGAAGGGGAAGAGGGACTAAAGTTTGTGAAGATCTATGTAAGATATTAGAATCATAATTAATTCTAAACTGCCTGAGGGTTTCATTTCTCACACACACACACACACACACACACACACACACACACACACACACACACACGTTTTCTGATGATTTTTTTTTCTGTCTTTCAGTTATGGAATTGCTGGTTCTACCAATGTGACAGGGGACCAAGTCAAGAAGTTAGACGTTCTTTCCAATGACATGGTGATCAACATGCTCAAATCATCGTTCTCCGCTTGTGTCATTGTGTCAGAAGAAAACAAAGAAGCAGTTATAGTGGAAGAAGACAGACAGGTCAGTATCTCTCATAAATTCCCCAGTGCTTGCTTTCAAGGCAGCATTGAGCAACAACTAGTTTTTTAAATGGATAAAGTTTAACCCAACCTGCTGACTTCAAAGGCCAAAGAACAACCCTCTGAAGACAAAAAAATTAGAGTCAATAGGCCATTGCCTAAACCAGCCCTTCACTAAGCTTAAGTCACATATTGACTACAAATAGTCTAATACTCAAACCTAATGGTCAGTATCTGGAGGACACTAGGTTAAATTTTACAGGGCAGCCTTATGGTTCCTTCATAATGCTAATCCAAGGGTAAAAATAATTGATCAAAGAGCAGAATCCTGTATGATCAATCACTTGAAAATGTCTCAAGGTTTTATTTTAATCCAGACACGGGAAGCCGTATTTGCACTTTTTTTCCTGTTATTATTTTCAGCCATTACGGGTCTCATTATGGCAATCAACATTTTTATCAATTTGGGTTTTTTTTTTTTTTTTGGTGTGTGTGTTTCAGGATTAGAAAAAAAAAATGTCATTGAAATTTGCTACTTTTCTGCAGGGTTGAGAGCATGAGGTTTGAGACACTGGAAGCTCCTAAAATCACAGGTGGACCTTTACTTAAACCTTTTAATTATATCAAGTCTGGAAGTGAATTTTACAAAAGATTTGTTTGGAAGAATTGATGTATTATGGGGGTTATATTAAAAATCCCTTTCAACTCCCAGTGCTTATGCACTGCTGTGCATGCACGGCTGTACATTCAATACCTTCACAGATTTAGAGCAACAGAGCTCAGTTAAACTAAGTTAGATATTTTTCCCTATGCTGCTTTGCCATTCAACTGTTTCAGGTGGCAAGCAAAGAACAGTCATCTGAATTTAACCGAGAGAGGGATGTTCACTGAGAAATTTTTTAAAAAAAACACCTCATGATCTTGCCACAATGATGCATTGGGAAAAGAGTCCCTCCATACAATCTCCATCCTGCCTTTTTTGAACCCTTTTTAAGACAGTTTTATACAAGGCTTTCTCAGTCTGATCTTTTTCTAAATGTTGGTCTAGTAGTTTTTTCTGGATTGTGACTTCTACTTGATTGGAGAGCTGTATTATGATCAGGACTTTTTAATTGTTCTTCCTAATCCTGCATGTCTAAAACATTCATCAGCTAGTTTTGTCTGCAGCATTGGAGGTAATGCAAGACCTGAGATGTAGATTGTGATATGACATCTTACAGAACATTCTTCAAATTTTGTGGCTGAAATAAACTTCTTTTTGAAGATCTTGTTAAGCTTATTCAGAATCTTCTGAGGTGGCTTGCTATAGCAAATCCAATACATTTAATTAAACACAAACCCAAATCAAACAACAATTTCCCTTTTAAGAAATGTATGGCCTGATCATTTCAGGATTATGATGTTTCTTCCTCGTTTATAGTTTGGAGTCCATCAACCTGATATCAATTAATAGTTCAAACCTTTCATTTTAGATAGGAAAATGGGAAAAATTCCCAAAGGTACTATTTTATCAAAATATTTAACAATAAACTAAGAATGCATTTTTGTTCTTTGAAAAGTTATATGAATATTCTTTTCTTACAGGGTAAATATGTCGTCTGCATTGATCCACTTGATGGCTCTTCTAATATTGATTGCCTTGTTTCTATTGGAACTATTTTTGCTATCTATAAAAAGGTAGGATATATTGAATAGTTGCTAAATATCAAAGAGAAGGAAGACACATTTATATTAGTCTATTTTGTGACCACATTTCTGATTATGTTCCTGTTAAAGCTTCTCAAATCCACAAGTAACAATGGTAAGTTTTAACTGGGGCCATAAATATTATGACAGAGCTTACACTTTGTTTAACCACGTTTTATTAATTAAACAACAGTTGATTGGATTCACCCATTGTATTTAGTCAAAACCAAACAAACCATATTATCACTTAGCTCAATATTTATTTATTTATTTGCTTGTTTGTTTATTTATTTAATTTGTATGCCGCCCACTCTCAAAGAGACTCAGAAATCCAGAGAGCTAAAACTCAAAGACTTTGGCCATCTAATAAGGAGAGAGGATTCATTGGAAAAGACCCTTATGTTAGGAAATATTGAAGGCAAAAGAAGAAGGGGACAGTAGAGGATGAGAAGGTTAGATAGCGTCATCAATGCAATGAACATGAATTAGGGCCAACCCTGGGAAACAGCAACAACATGAATCCAGAGATGTTTAGAAACAGTGAGGGGGAGTCCTGTGTAGCTGGATATTCCAGAAGAATGTGTAATAACTTTTCACCTCCAATCCAAAGTTAAGAGCCTGTGTTTACTGATTCTAGCACTTCACCATTTCAAGTGAAAACAGGTTTCACCATTGCTACTATATTTAAAAAAATCCGTATCTGATAGGAAGACCATAGCTGGGTTGTTTTGCCATGGTGTGTAAACCACAGTGCCTATGTTACAAAATATGTTAATTGAAAATCGAACTATGTCAGTTATGCTGCTGTGTAGTAAATAAACTCCACCTGTGTTTGAGCAGATACAGTTTTTCTTTAGTCATTGTGATTTGCAGCTATTTGTTTTCATGAGTCAGGCCTGTAGGATATAATGGTATAGGCAGCCTTTTCAGATGGGGGAAGTGATCTTGCACGTTGGGAGCAAAGTCACAGTGTAAACTTCCAAGTAGCTAGACCAGTAAGTTTGGTTAATTCCTGTAGGCATCTGATTTGCATAGTGAAACAATAAGTATGTTAAGAGTGCATACCATTTGATAGGCAAGTGGCCTGATTGAAGGAACTTGAAATTCTAGATGAGCATGTATTTAAATATATAGTGTACATTGATAGTCTTTAGATGCAACACTCTGCTATTTATTTTAATTATTCATTAACTTGCAGATTATACACAAGGATTAAAAATATTGAAAGTAGAAAAAACAGGTTCATAATAAGAACTTTGGGTTGAAAACACAGCTAATAGCTAGCTACTTTTTTCCTTCTACTTGTGGAGTGCAAGGTGGGAAGACTTATTGGGGATTTTTCCCATATGGGGATGGAATGTTTATTTTCTTCTTCTTTTATATTCTCTTTTACCTTGTATTTAAAATAAATAGCAAAATTTCTTTGTCCAAATACAGGAATTAAGAGATTGTGGGGTGGGGTGGAATTAAGATAGGGAGGAACACTAATTCTCACACTGAAGAATTGTACACACTCTATAGTGAGTGAGCGGAGTATGATGTTATTGGAAAAATTGATTCCATCCAGCTTTGGGTGTAAAGAAGAAAGTAATTATTTGATATCCTTGGATCTCAAAACTATTATTTTTATTTTGGAATAATAATTGTCAGATATCCTTAAACTGTAATTTCTAGCAGCTCCAACAATGTGGCCATTAAAATGCTGGAAGATGTGATTCAGTAACATCTGGAAGTTATAAGGAAGAAACCATAGTATTATGAGGGGTGGTACAGTGGCTCAATGATGTAAGACACTGGGCTTGTTGGATGGGAAGCTGGTAGCCCAGACTCAAGATCTGAGAATCATGCAATGGGTAAGCTCCCATCCTGCCAACCTAGCTGTTCGAAAACATGCAAATGTGAGTAGATAAATAGGTACCACTTCAGTGGGAAGGTAGCAGCACTTTGTGATTTGATGCTAGCCATATGACTGTGGAAATGTCTTCAGACAGTGCTGGTTCAATGGACTTGAAACAGAGATGAGCACTGCCCACTATAATTGGCAATGACTACTGGAGTCAAATCTGCAAGGACTTTACCTTTTTACATACTGTAGTATTATGGCCAGAAGGAAGTATCAACAGCATAAGGATTAAGTCAGCGTTTGAAGCTATTTTTTTAATATTGGGAACCATCTGATAATGGTGCTAAAACTGAAGGAATCATATTTATCAGTGATCAAGATATTTGTTGGCAAAGTGGTAGTTTTTATTAATATCACAGCATATTTCAGATTATTTGCTGTCCTGCTACCAGTGAACTGAAAGAATCACCGTTTAGCAATGAAACACTTCTGATCAGTTGCATAAAATTATTGAAATTTCCAGGTTCTAAACTTCTTTTACTTGTTATTCAAGGTTTCTCCTGGTGCTCCTTGTGAAAAGGATGCTCTGCAGCCCGGTCGTAATCTAGTAGCAGCTGGTTATGCCCTCTATGGAAGTGCTACCATGCTTGTCTTGGCCCTGGAATCTGGTGTCAATTGCTTTATGCTTGATCCGGTAAGGGGCACCCTGGGAATCCTAAGATCGATTATTGTTTGCTTGCAGTCTTGCAATTCTGCCTTTTCAGCCTCAGTTTTTAATTTGAGAAATGAAACAACCATCAATAAGATAAATACTACACTGGAGTTTGCATATTATGCCTGAAACATGTAGCCATTGCTTTTTACTGGAAAACTATTTCCAACAAAATAGTTTTTGAGGGTTCTTTTTGGTTCTTCAGATGATATTTTTCATATCCGGCATGCAGGGATCCCAGTTCCTTTTTACTACTTCAAGGGGCTTTATGTCTGCATTTGGCATGGGGGAAACCTTCATCTAGGTTTGGATCATAGCGAGGATTATATCCATGCTGCTATCATCCTAATCAATACTAGCATCCCAATTTGGACCAGATCTTCATTCCTGCTTTGAAATAAGAAAAGAGCAAATGAAATTGCACATGTCTTGTTAAATGTAATGTAGAATTTAACATTTAGGAAAGGAAGCAGGAAAGCAGTGGGAGCTTTGAAATGTGCACAGGCAGCATTTTAAAATTAAATGATGAAGAGCAACAGAAACATATGGTAGGCTGTTTATCAAACAGAAGTGACAATTGTGAATGAAAACCAGGGCAGAAGTAAGAGTGGCAGGGAAGTTGAACTGGCCAGACAGTGCCTTAACACAGCATTGGAACTGATTTAGAGTTAGAAGGCAAAGTACATGAAAGAAAGTAAAGTAAATGCTGTTAACAATGAAATGATAGTGTAGTTTTTAAAAAAAATGGTTACAAGAGTTACAGAAATTCACTAACCTTCTAAAAGATAGGTATATATTCCCTCTGTGTCCATGAGCAGAATGCATGGGTTTTTTTTTTTAACAATCCTAGCATTTCAACCATTCATATATAGGGTGAAGCTCCTTCCAAATAGGACTGCCTTTTATTATCTCAAAAGTATGTTAACACATATTCTTGTACGCTTTCAGATACACCTTGATGTCTTAAAGAGTAAGTGGCATGCTAGTGTGTGTGTGTGTTTGTGAGGCACCATGTACATCCTAGAGGATTTTCATAAAGGATCTTTTTTGCATGTCCCTGCCTAGTTCATGTCATGCAATTTACATTAGAATTGTTTTCTAGAATGTAAAAGAATGTAAAAATGGATGGCCGTGTTGAATTTGATCTCACTGGTTCATATCCAGTGTCATAAGACACTGGAGTTAGATACTTTACATTTCTAGAATTTTTCATAATCCATTGTGGATCATTCTAGTAGCTGAACCTAACCTGCATTTTCATTTTATTTCTTTTGACTTCTAATGTATATATTGGTGTTTTTTCATAAATAATCATGAAATTATAGCCATCACTTGGGAATGAACAATTTTCAAACTTTTTATGATTTATTATTGTATGATGCAGAAAAGTATTTTGTAGAATTATTCTAGTTACCAATAATTACGTGTGTGTGTGCGCGCATGTGTGTGCGCATGTGTGTGTGCATGTGCGTGTGTGTGTGCAAAATTAGTAGTTTGTTTTTAGATATGTATATATAGTTTTATTAAAGTAAATTTCTGAAAAAATTGGAAAGATAATGATATAGCTTTTGACTGGTTCTAATACATAGGCGCTTGAAATAAGTTATCCAGCAATACTTTACCTTGTAATACTTTACAAAATAATTTTTAAAAATTATATATTCAATTCAAGATGAAATATTACATGCTTTCTGTTTTATTTGCTAGGCAATTGGTGAATTCATTTTGGTCAATAAGGATGTAAAAATAAAGAAAAAGGGAAATATCTACAGTCTAAATGAGGGATATGCAGCATACTTTGATCCTGCAGTCAAGGAATATCTTGAGAAGAAGAAATTTCCCCAAGTAGGTTTTCATATTTGTAAGAGTCAAACTTATACAGGCAATCTTTTAAGTGAATATATTTAGGTTCTGCAATTCAAATAATCATTTCAAAGGCACCTTGATCTAATCTCCAAATCAAATCAACTTCTTTTCCAGATACGATTTGAACTGTCAAATAAAATGATTCCTTCTTAATCACTCTACAGATTGTGCGTTCACAGGATGAAGAAGAACAGCCTGTTTTTCAGACCTGGATTGATTTTCAAAATCGGATTGATTCATCTTTATGATGCTATTGAAAAACTCAAATTGAATGAATTCAGCAGTTCATACCACCCATGTTTTTCGTAATTAGGTATTAGATTTAAGGATCCTCCTGCAATAGGGAACCTATGCATTAGATCCAGAGGAGCAGAGGCATAAGGAAGCTGTGCTTGGATGCATGGTAGACACATTGAATGGGGTTATCTGCAAACTAAAGCTTATTCTAATCTATCATTTCATTTTACTTTCTAGGACGGGAGCTCTCCCTATGGCAGCAGGTATATAGGTTCTATGGTGGCTGATGTGCATCGTACTTTGGTGTATGGAGGAATCTTTTTATACCCAGCCAATTCAAAGAGCCCTAAGGGAAAGGTAATATTACATTTTAGTACATTTGTATATGTACCTATTTGTATATTATAATACATTGTATTTTCCTGATAGTTTAGAGCAGAACCCATTTTAAGAAACAAATCCAGGTGCCCCTCCTTGTGCAAGAACATTGACAAATCATAGAAGAAACTACTCTATATTGCCAAAAGTATTCGTTCACAACTGAGTCTGATTATGTGGATGGGTGAGCGAATACTTTTGGCAATATAGTGTATATTGGTTCTGGTCAGTGGTGGGTTCCTACCGGTTTGGACCGGTTTGGACAAACCGGTAGTATTTTGGCAACTTGGGTTGCTGAACCGGCAGCGACCCAAGCCTGCCACTCCCTGAACTTGTTCTCCCGGCAGTGCTTTAGGCACCGCCATCTTGTTTTTTGCTTCTGCGCATGCACAGAGCAATTTTCATTGTGTGCGCACATGTGCTGATGCGTCCCTGAGTGAACCGGCAGTAGCGGCTGCCAGAACCCACCCCTGGTTCTGGTTCTATAATTATAGAACCAGAACCAATATGAGTGATCTGTTTTCTCACTTTCACTAAGCTTTGCCTGGTACATTTTGAAACTTGGCTTTTTCAGAGTGCAAAATGGAGTTCTCTGGCACCATCTTTGGTGATGGACTTTATGCTTTACCAAAATGCAGGGCTTCCTAGAAAGTGAGCTATGACAAAATAAAAATATGATTAAGCAGGTAGCCCCTACGTAGGATGCTTATACTTACGGTTGCAAAATAAGGTGTTAAACTGTGTTTAACCCCTTTCTGTGAATTGTATGGAGTATGGTATGCAGTTAATTCCTCTATCACCAGGTAAATTTTACTTTCCTTTGCTCAGAATGTTTAATACTTTTAGATATGATTTTTGGGAAATCAAGGCTGTAGTCCACTGAGGAATTTCTTAGTATAGGTAGTCCTCATTTACAACAGTTCATTTAGTGACCATTTCAACAGGACTGAAAAAAATATTTATGACCATTTTTCACACTTACGACCATTGCAGCATCCTCATGGTCATGCGATCAAAATTCAGATGCTTGGCATAAAATGGGGCAAAATTCACTTAACAAATGTTTTGCTTAACAATGGAAATTTTGGGCTCTGTTGAGATAGATTGAGAACTACCTGTTCTAGGAATTTAATGTTAATATTTGATGTAATGAATAAGATGTCCTGTGATTTTTTTTTCTTTAGATTTTAGTATCCTTCCGTATATTATTTTTTCTAAATAATTCAAGGTGATCTTATTCCTATCTCCCATTACCCTATGACTTTTTAAATTCATTAACAAGACACCAGAGAGGATACTTCTAATTTGGCCTTTCATTCCAAATATATATATATAGATCACATATAAGAACAAATAGGCTTTTTAAGTATCTGAGTTGAGTGCAGATGAATACTAGGCTGCAGACATATCACATTGTAAAAAAAAAAGATTGAATGTGGCATGTACAAGACCCTCTGTAACATACTGGGAATGATCTGCGAGCGATATCGGGTGTACCTAGGTACACCCATGTTACACCTATCCTCCACGAGCTGCACTGGCTTCCCATCGGTCTCTGAATGTGCTTCAAGGTGCTGGTCGTTACCTTTAAAGCCCTACATGGCTTGGGACCTGGATATCTGCGGGACCGTCTCCTGCCACATACCTCCCAACGACCTATAAGATCTCACAGATTGGGCCTCCTTCGGGTACCGTCGATTGGGCAATGCCGGTTGGCGACTACGCGGGGGAGGTCTTTCTTTGTAGCTGCCCCGGCCCTGTGGAATGATCTACCAGTAGAGATCCGGACCCTTCCCACACTCTCGGCCTTCCGGAAAGCCATTAAAACCTGGCTGTTCCGGCAGGCCTGGGGCTGTTGACCCCAAAATACGGTCCAGCCCCATTTAGAATGGAGTGCATAGTGTGCTGTTTTTAAATCTATCTTTTTTTTCCCCTGTATTTTATTTTTTTGATTTATTTCTGTACTGTAAGCCGCCCGGAGTCCTATGGGATTTGGCGGCATATAAATGTTATTAAACTTGCAAACTTGCAATCTTGGTGATATTTTCCAGTATTGAAATAATAATTAAAAAAGGCAGCAATAGCATAACTGACCACACAAGGATCATTGGGTTTTTTCCCCCAATCCCTTTATTTCCTTGGAAAATACACAGGGAGTCCTGAGTATGCTGACCTCTGTTCAAGGCTTCATACTGATAGCTGTGGGAAGTTATCATACATGCCTACACTAGAATTTGCATCTGCCATGTTCACCTGGTCAGAAAATGGGAGAAAGTGGGAGATGACTGGAGACAGCTGAAGAGTGAAGGGAGGTGCTTGAATATGCCAGGAAAGGATATCAAAATATGAGGAGAGAGAGCGGTAGTAGATGTGACGCTCCCACATTCTGATTTCTCTTTTCATGACACATGCTCATTTGCACATGTGGTGCATATCGCAGTTGTCGTTCTAAAACTCTTGAATAGATGGAAATGATTTGGATTCCTGGGGAGACTGACATTTTAGAAAATTCTTCTACATCAGTGTTTCTCAACCTTGGTGACTTTAAGATGTGTGGACTCCCAATTTCCAGAATTCCCCAGAGAGCTTTGCTGGGAATTGAAGTCCACACGTCTTAAAGTGGTCTCTTAAAGTTAAGAAACACTGCTCTATAAAAACAAAGACTGCAGTTAGAAAGCTGGCACAGAATGGGATGGATCAAACTTTAAGATGCTGGACACGGTCACATTAAAAAATGGCACAGATTTCGAAAGTATCAGGGAAAGGTCACCTAAGTCTAAGATAAAAAATAATTAAACTGTGTTTGTGGCATCCCTGCTTTGTTAGCTGGAATTCTTTTAAGGAAGTAAAATATGTTCCTCTTTGCTAAACAGTTGCTACATTTTTTATTTTGTTAAAAAAACAGAACCCATTTCTTCTTATTGAGACTTTCAAATGCCATTTGTGCATAATATCAGTCTTTGGAAATTGAGAAGTAATCAAGAATCTCTTAGCCAGTTCTTTCCCAACTCTAGTTGAACTGGGGAAGAGTCCATATTTACTCCACAGAGAACTTTAATCTCTGAGAATTCTGAAATTTTGTTTGCTTTGGCTTATAGATAAGAGATGGTTATTCATTCATGCACCCTGTGTCAACAAAACGTTCATGCCCATTAACCACGGGGTTCCTCCTTTTGTACACACTTTTATTTATGTCTTTTTAAATAAGCAATTCAAGTAGATACATGGAAAATATCTCTGCAGGATCCAATCTGGGTTGGTCAATCTGGGATCAGAGGTGTTGCATTCTGAGCTTTCAGACTCATGCTGGAGCCCATCTTAGGGAACATCTCTGTGGCATTAGAGAAGTTAGAGTGAAGTTCCCTGAAGATGGGCTCCAGCTCATCTTCACCTCAACCTCAAGTCTGAAAGCTTGGAAGACAAAACTCCTGGTCCTAGTGACTGACCTAGATTGGATCCTACTGACCCAGATTGGATCCTACAACATTATCCTGAGACTCATATATTCATCTTCATTTGTGAAACTATCTCTCCCTTCTCACTATGAGCAGAGGTGGGCTGTGAGACAATGACTCTATCAAAGATGATAGTGTACTATACTCCATCCAATGCTGTTTTACTAGGAGTTGAAATCCGCATGTCTTAAAGTTGCCAAAGTTGAGAAACACTATAAACACAAAAACTGCAGTTAGGAAGCTGGCACACAATGGGATTGAACCAGCTTTTTCTGAACTGTTAACATGTTGGAGATATTCATATTAAAATGACATAGTTCTTTCATTACTGGATGTAGTAGACCAGTTTTTCCCGCTGCCTTCCAGATGGGTTAGTTGACATAGCATCCCACATTATACGAAGCCATAATTTGATCAGCGTTTGGGATTCCTGCCATGTGTGAACTCAGTCAGCAATCATCAAACAGTGAAAGGATTTTAATCATGCTGATTGGAATGATATCCAATCACATAAAAAGAGAAGACAGCGTAGATTAGACTAACCAAACTGCTGGATTTCTATCCTGAACTGAAATTAATCACTGAACTATAATGGCTTTAAAAAAATTACAGTGTGAGAATGTGTGTATACTCATACACATGCACAAATATGAAAATCTAGTCCAAACTTTTAATTTGTAGTCCAAAATACACTATTTAGAGTGGAGTTTGATTCTTGGTAAATACAGATAGGTGAGTCCTGTAATAAGTACATAAACAGCAGGATATCCCCATAGAACTGTAAAATGCTTGTTTGCTGTGTAAACGGAATGCTGACAATGGACCTCTGCCCTTATTTTTCATATCTTCAACTGCAGCTGAGATTGCTGTATGAGTGCAACCCCATGGCTTTCATCATCGAAAAAGCTGGAGGGATGGCAACCACAGGCAAGGAGGCGATCTTGGACATTATGCCTGAAAACATTCACGAGCGTGTGCCAATTGTGCTGGGCTCTTCAGAGGATGTGGAGGAATACTTAGCCTTGGTCAAGAAACATTCAGCTAAATAAGGAACAGGAGACTGCCAAGATCCCAAGAGAAACATCTTGCCACTGGACCAAGCCCATGTGTGGTGTGCTGCAGCTTTGGAATGCCCCAAAAATTAATACAATGTGATTTTTCCAAATGATATTAAAATTTTTATTTGCTCAATCCCCTTGTATAACTACAATCTTGAATCATGCATCCCCAATTAATGAAATATCAACAGGGCCAGTCAGAAATCTGTACTGTAAATCATTTTGAGAACATATGATTATGATATCCAGTAAATTCTCTATACCTCCTGGTTCATTATATATACAACATTATGTTGAATTTGGGAAGTTAAAGTCCAGACATCTTAAACTTGATAAGTTTGACAAATACCTCTTTAGAACAGTACAGTATTTACCATGTGGTAAGAGTTTCAGCAAGCAGCTAAATAACTTTGGCATTTGGTGAAAGGACAACGGCTTAAGTTACAGATGGTTTGGTAACTTAAACTACTAACATTTAAATGCAGTTGGAAAAAAGCATCGTTTTATATAGACTGCTTTGGACATTGGGTAATGGAAATAGCTCACTCATATTTCATACTCCTGTCATTGTAAAACATTAATTATGATGCTCAGAGAATTACTTTCTTCTTTAATACCATCAGCCTGACTGAAATCCAGATGATTGCACACAGAGGGGCGACTTCTAACAGAGAGTTATCAAATATATGTTACATTATGAAGGACAATTTTTCAGCAAATCTGAGACCAAATTCGATTGTGGATTGGTCTCTTATGTAAATATACTAAAATATGCTAATTGTGATTTATTCAATTAAATCTATTCACCAAATAGAAAGATATACTACTTAGCACTTAGATTTATCTGCCGCTTCATAGTGCTTTATAGAATTGTGGTGGCGCAGTGGTTAGAATGCAGTATTGCAGGCTAATTATGCTGACTGCCAATTGCCAGCAGTTCGGCAGTTCGAATCTCACTGGCTCAAGGTTGACTCGGCCTTCTATCCTTCCAAGGTCAGTAAAATGAGGACCCAGATTGTTGTGGGCAATATGCTGACTCTGTAAATCGCTTAGAGAGGGCTGTAAAGCATTGTGAAGCAGTATATAAGTCTAAGTGCTATTGCTATTGCTACAGCACGTACAGCAGTATACAGCATATTCCCCCAACAGTCTGGGTCCTTGGAAGGATAGAAGGCTAGTCAAACTTCAGCTTGTTAGGATCGAACTTCTGGCAGTGAGCAGAGTCAGCCTGCAATGCTGCATTCTAATCACTATGCTACCACGGCTCTTCTATGATATGTGAGTCCAGTCATTCGCTGGACTCAGATTTCAAGTTTAACCATGAATACTGATTAGTGCAAATACATTCATTGCAATCTCCTCTTCTTGCTAGCAGCATTTCATGCAGCAGCATTTTTGAGTGGTGTAAACCAGAAGGGTTAAGCATGAACAAATTTCAACATACATGGTAACAATAACTGGAGGGGAAATCTACAATTCTTGCATTTGGATGAAATCTTGATATATCATAGATGGATGGTAAACATACTATTCTGGACAGTGGACCAATGATGCATCTGGCCTAGCCTATGTCTTATGGCTAAGCATTGAGCAGAGAGACACTTGGTACTTCCATCTAGTAGTCATCAATTTTTGCGGCCAAGATCTGGTTGCTCTAGATAGGGGTGTCCAAACTTGGGAACTTTAAGACTTGTCCAAACTTGTCCAAAGACGTGTCCAAACTTGGGAACTTTAAGAATTCCCCAGTCAGCATGGCTGGCTGGGGAATTCTGGGAATTGAAGTCCACAAATCTTAAAGTTCCCAAGTTTGGACATCCCTGCTCTAGATGAAACCATGCATCTTTTTTGTACCATGGCTCCGGAGCTTTTTCACATTGATAAAACCTCAATGACATACTACTGTGAGAAACATTCAAGCAGCATCAAATTCAACCTTGCTCACAATAAAAATTTAAAGAAACCTATGAGTCCATCTTACCCTTGGCTATAAGGAAGCAGTGGCTACAGCTGAGATCCCATTGTTGCCATCTGGATATTTGTGGCCCAAATCTTGCAGCCTCTCCTTGTGCTTCAGGTCTCTAGCCAGGCAGTTCTCTTTAGGCAGAGTAAATGTTATCTCTTATCTACTTCAACTTGAGAAACCCCAAAAATTTATTAATGCATTTCCATCATTCTTGGTGGAGCAAAATAAGCTATATTTGTCCTGTAGCTATATTACATTCTAGGAGGTTGTTGTGTAATGAATTTCTTGAAGATAGAAATCTTGGATCCACATTAATTTGTAAACCTCAAATCATAACCATGAAGAAGAGTAAGTAGGAATCATAGCTATATCTTTAGGGGACCACAGGGATAGGATAGAAAAAATAAAGATGGTAGTTATGACGGTGAAGTCCATCCACTTTTTTTATTTACAATAGGTGTATGTGTGATGCAGGATGAGATTTTGACAATATAGCCCTGACCAATAGCAATAGCAATAGCAATAGCAGTTAGACTTATATACCGCTTCATAGGGCTTTCAGCCCTCTCTAAGCGGTTTACAGAGTCAGCATATTGCCCCCACAGTCTGGGTCCTCATTTCACCCACCTCGGAAGGATGGAAGGCTGAGTCAACCTTGAGCCGGTGAGATTTGAACCGCCGAACTGCAGATAGCAATCAGCTGAAGTGGCCTGCAGTACTGCACTCTAACCACTGCGCCACCTCGGCTCCAGCATATTGGATTTCTTGACAAATCTTTGCAAATACCCATTCACTCACACACACACACACACACACACACACACACACACACACACACACACACATAAAGAAAATAAAGTGCAAAATTCTATGCAGGAAAATAGGAAGAAAGTAAACATCTTTATCTGCCATTTGACCTGCTAAACAATCCTGTTTTAAAATTCAGATTCATCATACAATATGCAAGATTTGAAGATTTCCAGGCCAAAACTGGCCTGTGACATTTTGATCTGGGACAGAACAGCAGATGATCTGCCCCTGCCCACCCCCCTCAGATCAGGTGTTTCTCAAAGTAAACCAAGTGATTTGAGAACAAGAGGTGGTAGAATCAAAATGGCGCTCTATACCTGCCATTAGAAATACAATAGTAAGAAACTAAATAACAATTTGCGGTGCTTTTGTGGAATCTAACACCTCTTGTCTGACTAAGCAAGGCCAGCCCTGTTAGAGGTATGTTGATAAACAAAAATTGGGTAGATTTAGAAAAGAGAAAGTCCTGTGTTAGAGTAGAAGTTAGGCATTCCAAAATAACCCCAAATTGGAACCATACCAGGAATTGGATTCCCCTTCATAATTACAATGCTATTTGAGACCATGCTAAATTGGGCTTTGAATATTTGGCTTAACTCCCTGGACTACAACCCCCATCATCATCCTTCAGCATTAGCGAAACTGTCTAAAATGGTGTCTACAGTGAAAGTGGTACAACATCTGGAGGACGACATGTTCTCTATTTAACACCATGGCTTGATAAAGCTCTTTAGCTGTTTTTGGCAGGACCATATCTTCACAGTCTTTCTTGGAGCTAAATCTGAAGCTCCTTTGAGCCAAACTCTGAGAAAGTTCCCCATTTGATATTTGATGAACAAGGGGCAGCTGCTCAAAATGTCATCCTGGCCATACTCAAGCTTCTGCCTGGAATTGGGCAGGATAACTACAGTATCCCTTTCTTTCTTCTATATTTAAAAGTGTGGTGCTCGGACCAAAGAAGTTGCCAACCTCTAGTAAAGGAGATAATATAGGTCAGGGACAGTCATCCCTTCAAGGTATGCAAGGTCACAAAGTAGGAGTCACCAGAAGCCCTGGAATGTTCTTGAAGGCGCTTAGGCTCAGGGCATGGTAACAAACTCTTCAAAGTCCATTAAAGCCTCTCCCTACTTCAATTTATATCTAATCCAGTCAAGATGAACTTGTTTTGAGTTTCTTCCTCATGCTTTCTACTTTCTCAGGACTCAGACATCTTTTCTGTAGAGGCTCAACATTGCCTTCCTCTACTTCCCTGAATCAAACCCACATTCCATCAAAGATGGATGCAATTGCCAAGTTTAGCAGTAAATGCCTTGAGCGTTTGCTGCATTGACTGCTTTGCTCACATTATTGACTTCTATGAGATTATTTGACCTACAATTGACGGGATTCAGAGCCATTCATTAATTCTTTCTTCATGTCATATTCAGCAGTGATTCAATCACAGTTAGATACCTGTAGTTAATTGTGCATTTACTCCAAAAGGGTAATTTGTTCAGCCGAGTAGAAGTTGCACTCTTGCTACTTTGAAGATCCAGAGGAATTGTGCTGCAGGTCTATTTAGAGCATTCAAGTCACATGGGATCAGGAATCTTTACTAATCCATTCTTGGTGTGCCACCAGCTGCTTCTCCTTAAAATAAAACTACTGGCAAACAGCAGGGATCAGGAGGTGAAGAGAAGAGAAGAACTACTACATTTTACCTAAGAAAACTGGTCCTGCTTTCCAGCCAACATGTCGGATCAAAGCCCCTTTGAAACAGATATGATAACCCTGAACCGATATGTCATGGAGAAAGGACGGCGGGTGAAAGGGGCAACGGGAGAACTGACCCAGCTTTTGAACTCAACACTCACTGCCATCAAGGCCATCTCATCAGCAGTCCGAAAGGCAGGTCTTGCTCATATGTAAGTAGCATAGAAAAAGGGAGAAGTGGATCTATATTAGAATGTCTTGGATGAGATCTGGGGAAGGAGGCCTATTTCTTATAATACATTGAACAAAATTATTGTGATAAGAGTTCCACGTGGCTGCAATGAAAGAAAAGCACCTATAATAGCTAACGTGTATGCTGAGTTATAGAAACCTCTCTAAAATCATTATTGATTTTGGTTTGATATAAACAGAATTTGATCAGAAAGAAGGTACTAACCAAATCTGATATCTATACTCCATTAACATAATAATTTCAAGGAGAGAACAAAAGTTTTCAGAATATAGCAAAATTTAACAACAGGATCTCAATTGTAGACAGATAGTATACAAGCATGTAATATGCATGCATTTAAAACAAAGCAGTACTATTAACCCAAGAATAATCTGATTTGCCTCTATGCTGTTTCTGTGACTGAGTGATCCATAAGCAGATCAGCATAAAGATCAGGCCAGCTAACTTGTTTCTAATGTAATAGGGGTTGCATTCAGAATTGTGCAAGTGGCAAATTGCCTTGTCTTCATTAACAGGTTTGATGTCAGGGCCAAGTCTTGATTGTCTTCCCGAAACCCAATGGCCTATTTTTATAATTTCATATGGACATGAATGAGTTAATCAGGGACTAAATTGCCAAGGTGTAATCTTCTATTTCCTAGCACAATGTCTCAGGGCAACAGATTTTCTTGATTTTTTTTTAATAATACAATTTTTATTTATTTTTGAACAAAGACAAACATTAAAAAAACCATCTTCTATTACAAATTGTAGAAAGTGTATCAGTTGGTTACAGTATTTCCATGCATCTCTTCCA